TGCATATTTTCGTATTGTCTGTAGAGAAATAGAATCAAATGCAGATGGAAGAGTTTCCTTTAAACCGTTCCAAGTGTGATCGTAATGTTGTTGTGTATATATCGTTTAGCAGCGCCCCAATATTGCTCAATGAAATTTAACTCAGGATGGAATTTGGAATAGAAGATAACTTTGTGGCCCATGCTCCCAATTACCTCTTGGAGTAGCGGTTGTTAGCTTTGAAATCTTCTTGCGCTGCAAGAATATGATAACGCGCACAACAATCATCATTCGTTACAATCGTTTTTTTTCACACCACAGAATAGTCTAATCTATTATCATTCCATTCACACACATCAAATTCACTACTCTCATCTTCAATCGCATTGTCTGCAATCATTAATTGTCGGTTATGGCATTATTACAGGGAATCTGCTGGTTTTTGCAAGCTCACAACAGTGTTGAGTGCGTTTTGTGGGTCTACCCATTATTAAAGAGCGAAAAATTTTCAATTTTCTAAACATAATTTGTTAACATTTATCAAGAAGAACAAAATGGCGTTCTTAAATTTTGAATTATTAATACAGTAATGCTTGTATTATTGTTTGAAATACATTTGATGCGCACTTGTGTCTTCCACCATACGAAGGGGGATATTAGTTTTTTGGTGTATCTCCTTTGGTGATTGAGTGCCATTAAGCCAATAATAGAGAATTGTTTGGCGTTGGGCCCTTCAGTCGCGAGTTAACGTTTACCTGGTTAGTAGCTAAGTAAAAATAATGTCACATTTGCAATAAACAACGCGTTTCTTGTTTATTATGAAAATATTTTCAATTTTCCCGAGGGCCATTTTTTTGTAACATACTATATCATATGAATTGTGGTATTGTATCATAAAAGCCTTTACATAATACAATGTTCAATAGCAAACCTAACATCAAACAGATCGATAGGAATGTGGTTAGGTAGAGGAAGTGATGGGATAACAACATTAGGTACTCCATGATAGAGGCACTCCAGTCGAATATTGATGACATTTTGTCCAAGTTGTGGGTTGATTGGATTTCCCTGGCAGTCAACCGATCCGAATTCATACTACAATAAAGGAATACCTTAAATTTATTTAATTTTATGCTAAAAAAGTACGTAATAATAGTTCAAATATACCATTGTGGGATTTAATACACCAATAGCTGTTACATTGTTTATGCAGTAATGCCAAGCCTATTAAGAATAAAAGCTATTCAGACAATGTCAAAGCAAATTGAGCAGAATTGAATCCCTTTATCATACTTACAATCATGTACATTGGAGTTGTAGGTGGTGTTGTAACTGATGTGATGGGTTCTATTTTAATCACAATAGCATCATGAGCTCGGTCATTCATAAGCCAATACTTTTCAAGTTTATCCTTGATATGCGCTTCGGTTTCTGCATATGCAAACTCCACTATTAAATTTGGCCAAGGCTGATTCTAAAAAACGTAAAGTCATTGTTAACGCCAAACAATTACATCAGGAAATGAACAGAAACTTTTCATACCTTTCCATCAGATCCGCCTCTATTTACTCGAGGTTTTGCCACTGGTCGAAATGAAGCATGCTTCTTTGGCGATCCCACGTGACCTTGTTGCTTTTTAGCCGAAGATAGTTAGTAACGGGAAAATTGCAAAATACTTACTTGCTGTTCCAAGGCCAATAATGTCATAATTAGTACGCATCACATTTTCAGTTGCCCTATGAATTTGCCGGACAACGGCATCAACACCGCTTTCATGGAATAGCGAAGAAAGTTCAATTACACGAACGACCCCGTTTTCCCACTCCCACCAGCCATGTATATTGTATTTATCCGTTTTTTCGACATACTCTTCCCAAGAAACGTCGATAGCAAGCTCATAGGGTAAACTTTATAACAAAATAACAGAAATTTAGCTCATAAAATAGTAAATTATCGAGTGAGCAGAAAAGAGATTTTACCTTGCTTCTTCCCAATTGGCCTTTTGGTGGTATTTACCGGTTTTCCACCAGTATTTGCGATATTTTTTCAACTTAACGGTCTCCTCATTAGTATCAGTTTCCAGGGTATCTTGAGAGGTGGCGATATGAGAGGTGGCGATATGAGAGATGACGATATTTTGAGAGGTATTTTGAGAGGTATTTTGAGAGTCTGACATCCTAATTATTCTTTTCCATAAAAAAGAATCCGCGCTGTCGTCTCTGTAAATGGTCGCCATATTTAACGTTTCTGTTACTGCAGTATTTGGTAAGAGTAAATTATTACAAAGACAAACATTACGCATGATCATCACTATCATCACTTAAATAGTTTTAGAAATTATTCTAAAACTTTCCGTCGCGCAACATACGCAATATAGGATCACGTACAATTACTCGTCTACTACGGAATTTTTATGCTAAAAGAGGTAAGTATAGAGATATTATATAAATTATCATATATTTTTATGGCTCTTCCAATAAAGAATTCAAGTCTGAAGGTTATAAATTAAATCGAAAACATTTTCATATGTGTGATTTATATCGGAAAATAAATGTGTTGATTTTTCTTACGTATACGGAGGCTATGGGTATACATCCTTGCATAAATCACATGCTTCCACAATCAACACGAAATAGATTTTCTACTTGAATCATGGAATGCCGAACTAAAATCGAAAGATTCATATAACAAGTTATATCATTATATAAATTATATTCGCTATTATTCTCGACAAAAAAATAATAAAATAGAACATTACTCAGACCCTTTAATAACCGTCCTGGATATGATACAAAATATGCTGAGTCGCATATCAGAAATTATTTCGGGTATAATACTGACCCATTTAAACCTCTCTTTGACACCGAAAGATTATACATGTTTGTTGTGAAACGGGGTGAAAATCTTAAACCAATATTCAAGATTTATTAAGCGAGAAAAAACTTAGCATATCATAGATATTGCTTATTCGCTTAATGCAGAATTGAGGAACGAGAGCCAATAATTATTTGTTTAATTAGTTTGAGACAAGTGACAGAACCCGACTAGTCGAAACACCAAATCAAAGATAACCCTGTTTAATATTAAATAGAATTTATTCCCCTTCGATTCCGCAATAGAATAATTGTTGTTGTTATTTTATTGTGGGTACTTTTATTTGGAATCACGAGTGATTTGAGGCTCGGATAGGGAGTTGAGAAGCGCGCATTTAATTTAATTATATAATAGGTCACTTGTAGATTAGAATTCAGTCTTAATTGAACAACTACCGCATTAAGGGCGGTAGCACGAAGCTAATCTGGTAACATCCCCGGTCGGAAGAACACCCCTACACGAAAGATTTAATCGCTTTCCAAACCCCAGACCATCCGACCGTAACAACAGGCAGAATTCGCCATTAAAAAATATAAGAGTCATACATAGAACGGTCCTAAAACGATTTTTATATAATTGATCATTGACATTTTTAGTGATGAATTAGGCCAGAAACTTGGACAAACACAGACTATCCGGATATATCCAAAAGTTTGGACAACTAACGCTAAAATTAGATTGTCCAGATATATCCAAAAGTTTAGACAGACACAAATTACCTCATTTATCCGTAAATTTGGACAATTTAGTGAAACGATAATTAGTTATAAATACGAAGTCGTAGATAGTAGCTAAAAATTGTCGTTCCGATCATTCGAATCATATCTTCAGCAAGACGTTGCTAAATAGAATAGTTCTTTATATTCTAATAAAAATCCGATTCAATTCGTTTATTCCCTGATAAAAGATACTTGCATCGTTAGCGAAGTGTTAAAACCGCTTTCCCCGTCAGCGGTGAATAGAATTACAATTAATTCTATTTAACACTTTTGCATTTAGGATTATTGTTTAATTATTACTAGTAGTTTTAGATAAGATAAATTCCCCGTTTCGATAGGCCGTAAATCTAATCCCACTACGGAAATCGCTGAGATACTCGAGTTTAAACAATAATCCAGGGACAGCACATCAATGTCGGCGACGATTCCAATTACACAATTACATGTTCGAGCGTATACAAAAGCGATAATATACATCGTGAGTATTGAAAGCCTGTGTAAAAGGTCACTAAATGTACAATATTTAGTTTAAAGTAGGAAGAGCAAAAGCTTCCGTTGGAAACGAACTAAATCCCAAAACGGCTAGTACACCGCTTCTCCCAGGTGTAAGCTAGTCCGACATTCTCTTCCTCTGCATGTATTGTAGATAGATAAAAACAGCTCAAACTGGGCTTCGACGAAAAACATATGTACATGAAATAATGTGGAATAAGATGATGCTGTATCTCACACAATGTTAATCCTGGGCAAAAAGTTTCCGAAAGAGGAAATTATCCAGTAGTAAAAAAAATTCACCCAGTGAGTTTTAAGAATTGCTCACTATGCTTTCAAACTTTTGTCTGGACTAGAAAAATTGGATTGGCGCTGGCCCAACGGCAATAGATACTTCCGTTCAGCAACAGCGACGCTCGCAAGTATAACCTAGGCAAGAATAAGAACTGTAACTTAGAACAACAATATCCAAATAATTCTTCCAAAACAGACTTTTAATTGCAGAGTAAGTAATTTGTTTTTGCTCGAGAAAAATTAGAGGCAGCGAAAAAGAGAGGCAAGTGCTACTCACACTAAGGGAATATTGCCAATATCTCGAAAACTAAGTGGCTGATCGTTATATTACCGATTTTTTGAAAAGTTGCTTGAAGAGCTTCCTAACTTTTTCAAAAATATAGTTCTAGTTTTTTGTAGAGGATTTTTCCGTGCTGGGGCTGCCATAATTGATTGAATATTATAATTGTTTTTTTGCGATCTTTTCTACTGCGTGCAAACATTACATGTGTTGTTAAGAAATCTTCTCACTTGTATTATTGGGAAATGGACAACGAATAAGAGCACGAAAGCACGTAATAGTGCAATAGATATGCATCTGAGCCTTTGTCTTTGCCTTCATTTCGGTTGATAATACAACAGGCTGCGGACTGTCAGCATTAATCTATAAATACTAGATAACATGTAAAATAACAAAATGTGTTGTCAAAGCATCTATAGTCATAGATGGAAATATAAGTCGACTTGGTTCAATTATAGGCTATAATATAACTGTCACGATGCTCAACTAAAGCTGTCCTGCGACTGTTACAATACTATATCGAACAATATCAACCTGTCCACACAAGTCTCGTTACTCATTTTGAGAACTTATGCTTTATTGTCTATTTACATTATATCCAACCCATTCCGAGAACCCAATCAGAGCATAGCACAGAAATAATTGTCTTATATATAAGTATATCTCCTGTAGACATGCATCACACATGCGAATACAACTCCCCATCATGCACCTTCACTCTTGAACCCATTTCCGGTTGACATTGTGAAAGCACCTCCCCGTCGAAAGCACGACAACTATGTTGGTTTAAAAAAGCGGCAAGAGTGCGATCAATGGCCTCAAGAAGATCCTGCTCCCAAAAGCCAAGTTCATAATCTACTAGCCCATATCTCTCTAAAACATCAGCCCAACTGACTATCGATTGCCGTAGATGGCAGAGAAATTCATGGTCAATAAAGGTCGAATGTTTGGAGGACACATTTATCTGTGTTAGAGTATAGATCCATGTGTTGTTAAGACTACGCCAGAAATTCTCTCGCTTGACTCTGTACGCTGATGGAACGTTGTCATCTCCTGATAGACCTATTACAATAAAGTGTGTGTGTAAGTAACAATCGGCCGCGAATCCGTCAGTAGACATATATGACGGTCAGGTAAGCGTATGCAAGAGGCGATTAAGCATCTTATCAATTGCATTGTCGTATACATACCCAGATACTCGCAATTAGAGACTACGAGCTCAGTAATCTCGGACAGTATTTGGATTGCCATAGATAAATTCCCTTGTTGAAGAGGTCCCTCTACTCTTTTCAGACTGTTTTGAAGTTGATCAAGCGACACTGTCGACTTGTGATATTGATCTGGTGGTATCAACAACTTGTTTACGACTCGCAGATTATGTGACTGTTGATGAAAACGTTGTCCCTGTTCTTGGTCTTGTTCTTGCTGCTGCTGCTGCTGTTGTTGTTGTTGTTGTTGTTGCTGCTGTTGTAAATGCTGTTCAAACTGAATATCCAATTGAGTATGATTTTGCTGGTGATGAGGTTGTGGTTCATGTTGTACTCGGAGTAATGCTGCCGCAGCAGAAAACGCGTCTTGAATACCAGAATCAGTGGCAAGCATCGTATGAGCGGTTTGGTGTGGGTCTAGGGTTGGTGCGGCTACTAAAGCACCAGGAGAGTCATTGGTAGTCGCATTCTGTGGAGTAGACATAATGTTTGAATGCATTGCTTCAGCAGAAATGTCAAAGTGACTACTATGAGCGAAATCGAAGGTGCCTGCCCACATTTAGTGCTGTTTGTGTTAGTTACTGCAATTCGATGCTTCCCACAGGTAGTAAAAGGATTCCATATACAGTTTACAACTAATATTCAAGTAAGCAAGCAGGTCCCTTCTTTATGCTATGATGTTTCCAAATAAGTGAGTGTACTGCCGTCGAGGTTAGTGAGAGTATGTTGGAATTTTCGGTACTAAATTATATATGTCTATTTCATAAATTTTTTGCAAGTCCAATCATCGTTTAGTGGCTTGGGCATGATAAAGAGAATGTGGGCACCCTCGATGTACTCACATGCGTACGTATCGAATATGCTGTGAATGAAGCCTGAAAAACAGAGGATCGTTTTCTGTTGTAAGTGAATGGGGGGCGCCTGATGGAACAACAGCTTCTTTGTCAATAGACACGAGTGTCGTCTGTGGCTACGTATCAGGTGAATCGAGTGGCGTAATAAATAGAAATACGACTCTTCGCACACTTTGTGATTGGGTGAACGCATCAGTAAAAGTCAAAAAAGTGAACTCAAAAGCTATATGGCCGAAATTAAAAATTAATTGTACATTAACACGAAACGAATAACATACTGATCTTGCTATTATATGCATGTGGTAGAGGGTGAATAGGATTATGAAAATATTGGTGATAAGAATGCCAAAGGTCAAAGTCTGCGAGCTTTAGTATTAGCTAACAACTTTAAACAACCAGAGTCGACTTTCTGCTTGCATAACTTTGCTAGCAAATGCCCTCCAAGTAATAAGAGAGAATGCCAGAGTGATTGCATGGCAGGAAAACACTCGCCTTTGTTCATAGAGTATGCATGGCACTGGTATTTTTAAGAGCATCGAATACTTTCAGACACTTTAAAGTACATTTTATTTCCTATTCCATTTCAGCAAATGGAGTTTAACTCCATCACTTGTTCTTGAATTGTGAACAGAACAAGAATGAAATAATTGTCTTATGTAGTTCAAAGACAGTAATTTTCTGTCCTCGATTAACAAATAGATACGCGGTGCAACAGAGAATAAGAAGAAAAGATTAAAGCATTTTTAGATTTCAACTGTTCCAACTCTTTCCGTTTCTTCCCGTTCTTTTTTTCTAGTTAAGCCGTGTCAGTCTAGTTTTAAGAAGATTATTCTACACAAAGATAAAATCAGTAAGTGCAATCCATTTTACTCTTCCTGAATCGGTTGCAATAAATTAGTTAATATTAAACAAACCCTATTGTGGATTGAGCTTTAATTGAATGATTTGCTTTTTGAGACGGTGTGGAAGTTTGGAACGTCGAGTATAGGGAACCTCAATGTCGACTCTTCGTATCCTTCATCGTCCGAGTCGCTGCAGAGCGTGCTAGGAGTTTGTATTGGCGTATAGTGCGGTGGAGAGGAATGTATGAAAGAATGTATGGGGATAATCCTGGAGCTTGGTTGGTCTTGCAAGGAAGAATACCGGATTTGGAAAGTGGGGTTTTGCTTGGGTGGGTGAGAAGAGAGAGAGTATAGAAGCGTAAGCAAGATAAGTCGTCAATCCCAAGGTATAGTGGATGGACGTGAGAGTTTCGATTTCTTTATCTCCTTGCTCTATTTGTCTTTCTAAACGTCTCAATCTGCCTTTATCTTGGCTATAATTTTTGCCTCGAAATATATTCCACTCATCACTATATTTTTCCGTTGAAAACGTTGTTGGGAAAACCATGATGTAATGCTTCCCAATATATTGCCGCAACGTTGTATTACAAGACGTAAAACGTACGTCATAACTACCACGTGTCGGAGTATTAACTTAAGTTATATTAATATTAATATTAATATTAACCTACCGATCAGGTAGCATAAGAAAGAATTATATTTTTGAAGCGCTGCAACATATAGAATTCTCAGGTCTGGAATTCAAAGAGTTGTAATGAGATTTAGCTCCCAAACTCAGTCTTAACACTGGGAATCTTTCTCTTACATCGCTAGAGGATGAGGATTAAATAATATAACTCTTCGTTAGTGTGGGATGCGCGCACAATATCTTATCCATTAAAGTCAGTGTAAACCTCAACAGATGAATTATCGTAATATTATTTATTCAAAATTGTGTCACTAATTAAATATTTTAATTCGTTCTGAATAAGTTATATAAAATTCATAGTATACTATAATCATCAATAATTTAGCCAACTGAACACTATCCATTTTCGCGTATGTTTCATGAACGAGCCAAGGGCAATTTATCTAAAAATTCTTTCATGTGGTTATACACTCTCTCTGGATCCTCAACGTGCTAAAATTTGAGATATCATGCGATGTATATTAGTGAAAGAATTTCAATATGTTAGTATGTAGCAAACGTAGTCAATATAGTAATGGGACATAAATAGTGCTTATCTGACAATATTCTTATCACTCACCGGATAATGACCAAGCCCTTCGATGATAGAAGCCTCAATCTTTGGAGATTTCTTATAGCTCTCTTCCAGCAGCATCGGTTCTGCCGCTGCATCCGAAAAGTCGGGATCTTTATCACCATATATCAACAATACAGGTACTTGGACTTCTGGTACCAAGCTCCATGCTGGTTGTTTCGTTGCCTTTATGAATGCAACCATTGCAGCTAATTTCCCTTTCCCTCGAAGCATTTCCTTCAAAGAATTGGCATACTGTTCAAAGTCTGCGGGTTTTTTTGATCGATCGGTGAATAAGGTTTTCCAGTACGTAATCCATACAGTTACACCCCAGAAAGACGAGAACAGTGGACCACTTATCGGACGAAAATACTTATCTACGAATCGAAAAAGACAAAGAAAATCGCAAAGACAATTAACAATAAATTAACAGTACAAATCATCACTATTAGGATTGAAGACAACATACCAGCTGGCAAGTCCCTTACCAATCCGTTTAATATGACTATACCCTGCACTCTGTCAGGATGTTTGACAGCCACGATATTGGATGAAGCTGCCGCTAGTGAATTACCAACGAGTACGACGGGTTTCACAACACGCGCATGATTTAAAACGGCGATCATATCTCTGGATTATCAAAGAGGTATTATATCAGTATCGAGGTTATTACGACGTTTGATGAATTTTGTTCAACACTCACACTGCCACATCTTCGGGTGTATAGGACGAGAAGCCAACAGAACTCTCACCGGTTCCTCGCAAGTCCATAACAATGATTCGATATGTCTCATCCTTATGGAGCTTTGGTGCTATAAAGCGGTAGCTCTGTCTTACATCCCCGAGTCCGGGAACAAGTAGTATCGCTGGTTTGGCTTCCTCTCCTGTATCCTCGTATGCTATGGTAGTTGACGCGTCTGCTGACGGTGAAGGTGCGAATTTCGTGACTGAATCGGAGAAGACGGGTGAGAAAGGCATTATTACTTTTGCAAAGAACAACGGCAAAGCAAGATTGTGGCGACGCTGACAATTTATGTAGGGGTATGGTATGTATGGGATAAACCTCGCTTTTTGGGCGTTTTATGATCGAATATTATCCGCCTTCTTATTTTACCCGTGATCTGCATGTAGTACACACTAATTGATAACGGAAATCCTATTGTTCATGTCCTTGGCTTATTATTATCGCAGCATAAAGAATAACCGGGCGATGGCCACTATTCGAATTATTTCGCGGACGCGGAATACTTCGGGGAAAGCGAACGGATAAATACTTGACTAATATGTAGCCTTGTTGTTGTTGCATATAGATTGCATCACCATATAGAAATTGCGTACCACAATCTATCCAATTTTACGGCAGTTTAGAGTTATGTAAGTGACGCAAATCTCAAATTGGTTTCTGATGACATCTGGTAAAACGTCCAAAAGCCAAGTACCCTATAACAGGTTAGTAGTTGTCACGTGTATATGCGAATACATATTGTTAGACAAACGCCATAGAAAGAATGCCCAAGATTCCCGTCGACATATTTTGGGGTTCTGCCGTACCAGTGTTTGTCGGACTTGCGGTAGATGATAACAATATTAACATTGAATAGCTAGCATCTCGAGTGAGTGATTAGATTGTAAAATGATTATAATCAGTAACATATCAATAAATAACTATAATTAATATCAAGGAGAAGCACTTATTCGACTATACATAACCAATGTCCTTGCTGAGTGTCTATTTATGGACCTACTTTTCTGAAGTAACAATATACCACGTATTTGTTATTGAATATGTGGACAAAATGAACGCAACAACACAGGGGTCATAATCATCGATCTTTAAGATTGGACGGATCTAATCTGCCTTTAGAATGTTGGCAAAGTTATAGTCTGAGTCTTTGTCAGGCCAAGCACTTGTAGTGTTTGAATACAACAGAAGAAATAACATTAAACCAAATACCCAATTTTGTAAGCACAAAATTTTGAATTTGTTTTTTCACTATCTTCCCCGTCTAAGTCTTTCTCTTATTCCTCATTAATCCATCCTTTTCTGCAGGCAAATTTTCTAACTAGACCATTCCTTTCATTGACTCGAGCTTTTTATCTTAAAGTTTTTCCACACGTTTTCGATTTTCGATGGATAATCTCGTTCGCTGATTCGTTTACTTTTTAATTACTTTATCAATTTTCTTGTTTACAGCATACCGTATAATTTCCAATCAACAATATGTTGGACAGATATTTTGTAAAAAAGGTTTGCGAAGCTTGTAAAAATAATTCTCCGCTGCTGCTATTTTTATAACAAAAGCTGTATTCACAAATACCGCCGTATCATTTGAATCACACAATTATCAGGTTGAGTTCGTTTAAAACAAAACGCATTGTCAATTGTGAAATTGTAACTAAAAGCTTATATATTAATGCAAGTTTCATTATCGTACTCTGTATATAATGGAAATAATAGCAATTGTGAAAAGAGCTAGAATGTCTCTAATGCTATACTAATACTAATACATTATGACTAAACGTTTATAAAAATGGGAACATTTTATAGTAGATTTGGACAGTTGTTATAAGCTTCAAATCAAACTGAGAATTTAACCTGCTCTCGTATTAAGCAAATAATCTTGTGTATAATCAACATAATATCTTCCATTTTAAATTATATCTATATCACATACCAATCTTACAAAACATATGGTACTCAATGAGAATCTAGGCCCCATCGCTATAGGGCACTTGCATTAACATTGAATCTGATATATTCAACACATAGTTGATAAAAATCAATATGTTTAAGCCCTAATACGATATAACGCCCTTAATTGGGTAATTATAATATTAAGACAGATACATGAATAGACACTTCCATTTGCATTGCATTCGTCTCGGACTCAGCTTACATGGGACCACTAATTAGTGTTTGGTCAGAGCACTAGTGTAGTCACTCAAGGAAGACGATAACTGCCAAAAGTATAAATGCAAATCTTGCTAATAAAGCATATAAAATGTTAAATTTCCAAGTTACCCAACTCTCCCCATATGTTCTCAAGCTAAATGGTTGTGCCTTAGTTGACTTACAAGGCATTGGATTATTATATAGTGTAGTATCAATTTTTTTTAGACCCGTGTTTTATTTTCCATTTTACGCGTCGCAGATCAGATCTAAATTGGGTAAGCGAGACGTGTTCTTATATCGTGAAAAAATTTTGTGCCACACTGTATTTAGCAATTATATCATGTTCTACTCGATACTATACTCGCTATACCGCCGTTCTGTGGTTCGTCTAATGTCATGGACGCCGCTCAAATGCAAAGCGAGTTGGATCGAGCTAACAAGAAACTGGATAGGTTAGAGGAATTGAGGGATGGTGCGGAGGAAAGGTACCTACGGGAAAAATATACGCTGGAGCGGCGGGAATCTTATTGGTTAGAGGAAAGAAAGAAGTGGGGTGATGCTTTGCTTACAGTAAACACCCAGACAGATGGCGACATTAAGACTCAAACGTTGGGTACGTAGAGTAATGTGTATATAGAGTAGAGTAGGCACGATAATATGATTTACGAGAATGTTACTGTAGTTAGGGGTAGATTCTTCGTTTATTATGCTTTGTGTTCCCTCTTTATCTCCGTCCATCCATCATCCCACCCATTTGTCCACAACTAACTTGCGCTTTTCTCCGCTCTCCATTTTCGTGGGGGCGCGCTTCCATTCGGTCAAATACATTAGGAAAGAAGAAAGAAACTGTTTCGAAAATTTCTGAAAAGAGTGTTCTGGAGAAAAAGGCTATTCCTATTCAAAATCAAAAGGAAACCGTTGATAATGAAACAAAAGTCAATGAAACAAAAGTCAATGAAACAAAGGTCAATGAAACAAAAGTCAATGAAACAAAGGTCAATGAAACAAAGGTCAATGAATTGCCAAAATCTGGTACTGCTGACAACCAAAAAGTGAAACAGATGCCAGATTACAAAGCAATGACGAAGCTTGAATTAACGGTAAAGAGCTAACGATTGTATACTATATGAGATTATTAAGCATCACTTTAATGCAAGCAATGTCTACGTATTCGTTAACCGGCACAGAAAATGTTGTCAAAGTACGGAGTGAAGCCGGGAAAGCGGGAAGACATGATTAGTATGCTCACAAATATCTGGTATTCGTTAGCAAAGTATGTGGAATATATTTTTATGGTCGATATACCGATTTTGAAACATTCATTTTACCCGACTTGTTATTGTAACGATATTCACGTGATATAGTTCTGCAACGCAAGAATACGCTTCTGCGACAGATGATGATGATATCTCGTCTTCATCATCCGACGAATGTGTTGATGGAGGAGATCAATCTGCAGACTTTTGGAACAAGTTAGGCTTCAGTGAAGAGCCACACGAAAATGTAGACGAACGGCTATATAAATTCTTCATAGAAAACGACGAGTTGTATAACAAAATACTCAAATATGAAGTTAGGATTAGACACTAATTTTGATTTTCTGATATTCAAGACTATTTATTATTTGACACATTATCACTAATATCTTTCATTTTCAACAGCCGCTGAACTTTCAGGCCATATTTTCATTACTGGTAGTATCGAAAGTGAAATGCAATGAGAAGCAACTGAAGGACTTTCTCGATGGACAGGTACCATATCCTATATCCATAATGTGCAAACGACAGATTCTTTACTAAATCTAAGAGATGTTAGAGATAATCACTATTTATTACTTGTTGCAGGGTATAATATTTATATTGAATCGGACTAATAAGACGAATCCAATGAGAGGAATGAGAGGACGTGGCCGGGGTAGGCGAGGAGCATGGAGATATATTTAATGCGAATTGGACATTATTCTTACGGCATGTAGTTTAGACATTGCATATTATTGGACATTGATACAACAAGAGGAGGATGTATGGATGGTATTCCCTGTATAGTAGAGTAATGTTATATTCAATACATTCACTATCAAGTCATTGATAGACGACGCTAATCTTATCAGCATTTTTACATTGACTACACGTCTTCTTCTTCCATAAGTTCAAAATCGGCTTCATCTAAAAAATCAATGTCGTCATCATCGATATCATCATCATCATCATCATCGTCATCCTCGTCTTCATCGTCATCCTCTTCACCAGATTCAGGAGTATAATCAGCGTAGTACTGACACGTCCTCTCATGGTGATGATTGCCATAGCGGCTGATCTTCCGGAAAGGAGACAGACATCTAGAAAGAACGCGTTAGTAAATAGCGAATAAGTTCACATACTGGATCCGTGCGCATTAAAGTTTGTACGTACAACCAACAGAATTCATGACCACATCGACAAGTCATATGATCACAACCATCGTTTTTCTCGATAGCCTCTTTACACTCTGGACATGATTTCGTATGTTGCTCATAATAAACTCTAGTGGCATTATCCCCTTTCTTTAGCGACTCGTCGAATTCGTCGCACGTCATATTCGTATGCCATGGGACGTCGTGCGTGAAGCATGACTTGGCATTACACGCGTGACATGTCATTACTGGTTCATCGTCTAAATGAAATGCATTGAGGAGAGGCGGTAAACGAGGATTGGGTAATCACCGACAAGAAAAGAAAAGCTTGCTGATAAAAAAAACGGTATTGCTAAAAATTGGGTATGCACAAAAGTCACAACTAACCTCCGGTCGTATGCTCCTGTCCCCACCCACAATTTGCAACCTTGCACCATCGAAAATCGGGCAATTTTCTAATTGCGTGTCTCAGTAACAAGTTATCATATCTTTCAAATAGCTGTTTTTGCGCTAGTTTTCTAATATCATGATATCCCAATTCCTTTCTGCACGAAGGTTTGGGACAGGTGACTTGCAGCGCAACTTTGGTATTGCACTGAGATTCGATGTGTTTTTCCAAACACGATTTACATGAATCAGCATGGTCGCAGCCGGACGAGGCTTTTACGAGGTCGGTTTCAGATGCTGAACGACAGATTAAGCAATGTTCGTTGTTGGACATGACCGAATGACAAGATACTGAGAACGAGCGAGATAAGCAGACTATATGTATGGGATCGACAAGTTTCTGTTTGTTTGTGAGACAAAAGCATGCATAAGCTATGTTTGGAAATTAGCCCTTTCAAATTGCGAATACTCATATTCATTGTATTCCTATTTTTAGAATATGCAGGCATCAATAGCATATTTATACGTGTCCAGATATAAGGATGAATAAGTATTGAATTACGAATTAGATTTAGCCGGCTGAAAAACGAACATTACTCTTTTGTTGTCGAGGGCAATGCATACCGAATTGATGGCATTGAGCTTGACTCGATGTTTTGTTGATATTATTACGACAGATAATGTTTATTGGCAGCAGCGAATTCGCATAAACAACTCTTTGGCTTTCTACACATTATTCGTAATGTTTATTTCAGTGACACAGCGCTAGATTCGATGTGGGAATCAATACATAAAAACTGGTCATAGCGATCAACATGCGTTATTTTACATGGGAAAATTAAAACCGCGTCAATTTATGTATTTATGGAAGGGACCTGAAGAAAACGTGCCTCCGGAAGACTCATTTGTCAAAAAGATTCGCGCTTGATTATTTAGGACTAGTGGCTCATCATCTTACCTCTGTGAAACAACCGAGAATTACAGTATATCAAGTCTATACTAACATATTGGCAATTTTCCCTATATATACACGTATGCTTACAGACTACATGTAATTGAGCAGATAAGTCTTAATTATATGTGTGGCTGCTTGGATGAAGCGCTTTGACAATTGGTTACAATAAGTATTGTTTTGGGATCGATAATCGGTGCGAAATTCAATAATCGACTCACATTTACGCAACGTTTGGGGACAGATGCAAATAACTTTATATTTAATGACAAAAAATATATACGTGATCCAAACCTTTAACAGCATTATATCAGGTACTATGTGCAATACTGTATACTCGCGCTATGTATAATGTCCAGTTATAACAATAACTATTCACAAGGGTAGATATGTATTAATGGTTCTAAAGTTTATAAATAACCAAATGTCTTGGAAGCGTTGCCTAAAAAATTAGAGTTGTTTAGTCATCGATATTTACATGGTGTATGCCTCGCCCCGCCCACACACAACGCACTTATGGTTTACTTACATGATCTTTATTAGTACAGACCGTGTATGCTACATTAGTTACATGAACGACATCCACCAGATACATCACTCTTAGTAGAGTACCTGCATGTGGATAAGTATACCCATTCGATGTGTTTGCGTGCTGAGCGAACCACATGCCACCTGAATAGAAGAGATAAAGAGCATTAGGACATTGAAGGCAACGCTTGTTTGGCTTACGTATTAATAACATTCTTTGTTGCGCATTAACTTACCGTTACATCTCGAAGACGTTGTCTTATTCCCCACTTTAAGTATTCCACATAACCCGCACAATACGTTCCCGCATACTTCCCCCTTTTTGATCAAGTTGTTAGGATCACATGTCGACTTGGTTCCATGGAACAGCCTCTTGGTAACCGCCTCGGGAGTAGATTGGATTTTCCCAGCTTCTTCTTCCTTATGTGCCGCATGAGCATCCTTGATTTCAGACGGCATTTCGAGAGAGAATATAGCCATTATTTTGGCATTAGGAATGCCAAATGTGGAAGCCACCTGTGTGTACTCCGGAGAGGTCGATAGGATGCGTGACAAGGTTGTTTGTGTTCCGCTTGGTGTAAAGGGTTCGACAATTCCGTTGGAATCGGTCTCGGCCGCATGCTCAGCCGTATTCTGCACAATTATAGGCGCAGATATAATAGGCGCAGTCACAGGTACAGGTACAACTGGAGTGATGGGAGCCGGAGATTTACTTGTCTTGTTAAAGAACTTCTTTCTCTCCTTTCTTGGACGAGGGACCGGGCTTCCATCAACTATAGAAGAATTTTTTGTATGAATAAGATGATGCGTTTTTTGCATGGATATTAGTTCTCATCAATCTTACCGGATGTCTTGGTAAATAAACGCTTGAAGACATAATAGGGCTTTAGAATGATCTTTCCGTGACCCGTACTAGATGTGTTCGATTGAGTAGCCATTTATAAAATATTACACAGTCTGTTGAGTAAGTTTTGTTCGAGTGTTTTTTTTTTTTCTAACGATGGGCACGATTTCTTTTTCTTGGGGAGGGTTTTATACATTTTCGACTTGTCACCTTTGTCATTCCCGATTTGTAAGTTGCACGAACACAATAATGGGAACCGCAGAAGGCTTATGCACAATCCTTCTCAATCGACCCTCCATGAGTAAAAAATGCCACCTTGGGTAACTCCAATCACAATGTTACCATATGCATTTTTATCATCGACGTGCGTTTGTTATGGGAATGAGACAATAAGAAACGTATTTATTTGTGAGCCCAAAGATATCTCGTTCGGAGAAAGTTCCGCAACTTCAACCGGACGAGCTAATACTAGTAGATATGAAAAAGATTATGATTTTAGATATTCTGGGTTAATGTTAAAAAACATTGCGCAGCTCTTGTTCCCACGCACGCAAGTCCTAGTTGTAAAATGATTGGATGATAAAAAGTATCTCTTTAACGACTGTTGTTATAACCGAGATATTATGGTCCGCAGTTAATGATAGGATTAACGGTTGTGTGTCCCAGTTGCCGATTCGTCAAGACGACTGCCGGAGTCAATATTAGCACACTCTTTCGCGGACAACGAATAAAAGTATACTGTTACACCATTGTTTTAAACGAATAACTAGTATTCTCAGAGTATTACTAATGCGCCTCGTCAAATATATCGAATTTTCTATTTTAAATCACATGCAAAATTGCAAATAATAAATCCATCCGAAACCAACGAGAATAGAAATACCAATTTGCTTTGTCTTGACAAACTACCAACGACAACGGTCGAGTGCTCTCACCATTGTTGACGCTTTTCTGTCTGTCTATTGTCGCATGATCCCTTGTGATATGTCTTTATCACAACACTTTCAAACATCCCTTTATCTTAATAAATAAAACTGCTCCTTTTCTCATTATGCTTAGTAAGCGTTCGGTTACCCGGGTAATGTATGTGTACACAGAACGTTACTTGAGATAGACGGACATAAATTTCAAACAGAAAACGATATTAATATGTTCTTATGCTCGACCGTTCAGAACACAATCAAGTAAGAAAACTTGTTCTCCGAATTCACAAAAGGCGTGAACATCTTTAAAAGCGATATTCTCGTTCTTGATAAGTAAAGCGGAAGGGCATACTTTGGGATTGTTACTGTTGTTTGGTTATACAGATCAAAAGCTGTGGCGTGCGTAGTCAACTCTTCGTGGAAGGAATTCCAAATAATGGACATGCAGGTATGTTGATTGGTTATTAGGCGTGTTGCAACAACATTGTTACAGCACACAACTAAGTAAGGTACTACTAATTTTAATTTGCTTGGCAGATAATCAACGAGCCGAACGTAGTTAGAGCGTAAAAGGGGCATCAGCCAACATACAAAAGATAAAAATCTAATTATGTATGCCTACATACTATCACCTGACACAAATGTGCATTTTAAAGAAAAAAGGAAAATTGCTAACCGTGATAACTCATTTACAAATTCCTTTTTCATAATCATAGCCAAACACCTATAAATAATAAAGTTAAAGTTGAGGTATTACGATTTTAACTTATTTATAAGGAACCTTTTCTTATTCTTATCGAAGCTAACGCAATTAATAGACTTGCAGAATTTTTACGGTAGTTTTAAGCGTTTCACTTGTCAAACAAATTCGAAACCGTTTAAGATAATCTGCTGGCCTATCATAAATAAACACAGCTTAAATAGTCATTGGAGTAACCTGTGTCGGAATATTGATTTCCCAATAAGGAATATTCGATGCTAGCGTAACACCGAGTTTGAGAATTCTTCCGCAGTAATGTATTTGCACGATTAAAATGTCTTGTTTGCCCGTTGCAGAACTTTGTGCGTGGGAAGCAAGAATTCATATTAATAGATATTAATATCAAACATGCGGACATGCATATCTGGTCGATATAAATAGTCGCAGTATCGAATAGTAGACATAATGGCATGCGCGAACCGTTAAATTTAAGAACAGACTTACCATAGATGTTGAAATTGTCGCGGAACAAATAATGTGCCAAAGAGAAAATTAATATACGATGGGGATCGAGAAATAAAGACAGTATCTCCGGTTTCAGCGATTCTTTTGGCCGGTGAATTTATATGAATGGATAAATGTTTGTACAATTTCTCTTTCTGTACGATAAATAAGAGCACAAGGACAGTGAGATTATTGGGCAGCTTGGCATTCAATTAAACATCAACGTTGGGAAAAGCTATTCCCCCTTCATTAGAGAATGTGCTGAGTGTATATTACATGTCAATCACATGAATGAAGTCTAATGTCATCACTGAAATACGTCAACGTAGTGATGCAAAGCTTGGTAGCTGAAATTGGCAGACACGTACATATTTATGAAGCGTAAGTGTCGCTCAATAGTTCATAGCCAATTGACTCCTCAACTTTGTCCCAATGAATTTCTTCAAGCAAACAATATATGCAATATCGTTCATTATTATTATCTACATACACAATTAAACATGCAGTGAACCCTCTATAAATGCAACCCCCATAAGTGCAATCCTCCCTTAAATGCAACATTCCAAGCGTAGATAAATGCCCGTTTTCTGCAATTGCATTTCGCCAAGTGCAACTCACGTGATTCACATAATGTAGCAAATCTGTTTCGCACACATTATTTGTAGATCCAGTTTTATGTGTGAAGAAAGAATTCTTCGTGAAGACATCATTTTTGAAAGTGACGATATTATTTGTTTATTTAGCAGAGAAAACAATAAAGAGGCTGCCGACAATAGTAATTAAACTCTAATAGTGAGCGCTAATGAGGCATTAAAACATAAGACATTTCTGATTCAACAAGAGGGAGCCAGCAGCTGTTAATTAATAATTTAGAGAAATTTATTCGCAAGAAATGGATGAAACAAAGTAGCATAACAAATTATTAGTTAACAAATTAGGGATATTGATAGTCGAGCTTTTACGTAACTTTGGTTGGAAATTATAATAAAAGGAAATCTGTTTGACGTAAATGCTCGGTCCCATTTATGGAGAGTTCACTGTACCTGATACAGAAATTCGGTAACGTTTCCAACCGACAAATCTACGCAATATTGCTCTTTCTTATGATACCTTCGATTACCGTTTTGGTATAGTTTCTCTAATAATTCTATTTCCTTGTTGGCAAAATTGCTTGTGAGAACAATATAATCAATTACTAGAATTTAAATTTTACTTGTTACACGTATCTCCTATGTACATAATCGAACCTTCCCCTATATGCAACGGAGCAAGGACGTGACTTTGTAGAACAAATGTTTGTCAATTTTTTGCGTCAACTATTAAAGGTATAAGCAACTTTGGATAAGCGTAATGTCAAGGGTTAGCAATTAATTAGAAGATTCTACCCTGCCTAGCATCTTACCTGATCAAATCCTATTGAGAACAGGATATCAAAATAAAATATCAGGACTGCACAAATGGTTAATTCTAATTATGATTTTAGGTATTTAGCAGGAATCAGTACTTATGCACCTTACTTGTTAAAGACTTTGGCCATAAATTATAGTAAATACTCGCGGAGTACGTAATACGAATAGTAATGTTATCGCTATAAATATGGTTGCCCTCTCTGGATATACTTTTGGTCACAACGAGTAAGGTATGCGTGTAGTAAACGGAAATTCTTAAAATGACGTATTTATTATGTCAATGTTTCAAAGCAGAGCGAGTCTTTCCGTTAGTCGGTTACGTGTATTTAACTTGTCTACTACTTCATCATCTTGACCATAGAGTGGCTATAATTTGCAACGTCGGTCAATCAACGGCTTTATCATTGTATTTTTAGTAAAAAAACTAAAAGTGTAGACAAACAAAATAAAGCGCGCATTTATTTGGTAATGGCGGTAGGTACGCGACTTTTGTTTTTTGTTGATAGTATCTCCCTATCGTTTGTTTAACGCCAAATTGAGCATTAGAACAGTAATTTAAAATATAAACAATAAAAGGCAAATGTACAAACTGCCTTGGCGCTCGTTTTTAATTTTCAAATATGGCACCTACACCTATTAAAACAAATCGTGAACTTGCCAAGTCTCTTTGGAAGCAAAACGTCCGTAATGCAAAAGAAACGTTCCTGTGAACGTTACGTATCTATACTTCGAAAAAATGGCAAGATTCCTAACATACATCGAGCTGGTCGCTCACAAAGATTATCTCCTGAACAACGTCGCCAAATTGGAATGATTATTAAACCTGATTATTTCACGACATCTAGTGAATTAAAGACTATGCTGGAAACAAAATACCCAGGGTTAGATGTTAGTGAGCGTACTATTCGCCAAAACCTAGATAGACTTTTAAGCCAGCAAGCGAAAGCCAACCGTCTAACTTGGGCACGTAAGCACTCGCATTACAATTGGAATAACTAGTCTTTTCTGACGAGACTACAATTCAAATGTTTTGCAATACAATCCGTGCATGGTCACGCGAAAAGAAACCTGTTCAACCTATGGTGAAGCATTCCTTTAAGGCCCACGTTTGGGCTGTGATTAACATTAAGGAGAAAATCGAGATGCACGTATTCACATAGTCACAGAGAATTTAAACCGCCATCACAATAACACTAAATTAATCACTATGGTATTAGAAAAATTTACAAAATTAGACAAACTGTGCATACATATATATGGTAGACGACTCATATTGGAAAATCCTGATAAGTTGCTGGGTCACAAATGAGTATTCAGCAGGATAATATACATCCCGTGATGTTCAGGGCGACTTGGAATCTACATCATGTTCTTCATTGACCTTCTTACAGTCCAGATCTCAATCCAATGGAGAATATCCAGGCTGTTTTGAAGCATAATATTGAAAAACGCATTAAAAAAATGGTGGCAAAAAAAAAGAGAAAATTTCTCAATCCATTTTTTTAAAATATGGGGCAGACTGCAGCGGATCACCTTTCACCTATTTTCAACGATTTCA